TATGTATCTATCTATCTATATCTGTATATCTATGTCTATCTGCCTGCCTGCCTGCCTGCCTGCCTGCCTGCCTGCCTGCCTAGCTATCTCTCTCTCTCTCTCTGTTACCAATTGTGACGTTTACGGTAATTAAAACATGCTTATTTTCTTGATATAAAGCTACTCTTTTAATCTGCAAACCCAACCTCTGGCTCTCCTGGGCTTGACAGCTGCTAAATCATGTTTTCTGCATGCATATAAACTTTAACAGCATGGCCACAGCAGTATGTTTTTCATTTCAGCCTTCGTGAATATGCTTTAAAAAAAAAAAAAGATATATCTAGATATACTTGTCAATAGGAGATAAAACTTCATGCACAATAGATTCAAGAGCACTGTGCTTCATGAAGGATACAGCTAGAAGACATGAATTAGTATCACAAACACTATTTTTTAAAATATATATTTCTGAATTCACAAACACATTAGACCTCGGTTTGAAGTGCTGCTCTGTTTTGATATGTACTCCCACAAATTGGATCCTTTCTACTCAGGGAACATATTAACAAATACAGATTAATAACCAGAGAACCATTACGATACAGATTAGTCATTCAGACTATGGAGGGTAATCAACCTGCCATCATAAAACCATCAGCAGTTTAGTAACCTGCTCCTTATAAGTGACAAGGTACACCAAATAATTCTTTAATAGGTAATGTTTTATTAGATTGCTAGTCCTGGCTTCTAATGGAAAAATACTGAAGGACTTCTGTGTTTCAGTAGGAGAAAAGAGTCGTGTTTGGTGAGATGGGCAACATACATGATAGATAGATAGATACCGGTAGATATAGATATAGATATAGATATAGAGAGATAGAGATAGAGATAGAGATAGATAGATAGATAGATAGATAGATAGATAGATAGATAGATAGACAGACAGACAGACAGACAGACATATGAGTGTGAGAGAGATGATAAATAGATGAAAATAAAGATAGAGATGATATTGATGCAGGTAGATAGATATAATAGATGGATAGATAGATGGATAGATAGATAGATAGATAGGGATGGATGATGATGGATGGATGGATGGATGGATGGATGGATGGATGGATGATGGATAGATAGATAGAAGATAGATAGATAGATAGATAGATAGATAGATAGATAGATAGATAGACTCTCAATCTTGTCAAGTTTAAGGTGGATGGATTTCAACTCCCAGAATTTACCAGACAGCCATGCCTTCGTAGATTACAACCCTATCGCACACTCAAGTTTTTATCTTGGCTTCCTTCTTTCCACATCCATGAACACCAACTAGCAGTCAAAAGACATGATGAAAACTCCTTAACTGCACAACACATGGACAAACTCAACCATACTTTCAACTGGGAGACGGCGAGCATCCTAGACCAAGCCAAGTTCGAAACAAAGACAAAAAACCCTAGAGAATTCCTGGAAGCCCGGCATTCAGACGAATCGGCCATCAACAGGGCACATACAGATAAACAACATCTACATACCATTCAAAAGAGACAGTAAAAGAAACAACACCTCCTGACTGGCAATCAACACTCAGATAAGCAGAGATTGACAGCGAGCAATAAACAATACCCCAATCAAGGAACTACCAACTACCAACCACAGCCTAATCAAGGACCCACCAAAAACACTCCCACTGACACTGACAAGGGAAGCCACTTGTATGTAAACAGGGAGAAAACCCCACTCCCTTTAGCACTGATGATGTTACCTAGTTAGGGTCATAAAAGTCTACAAGAAAACCTCCAAGCTCAGAGAGCACCCACATCTTCTGCTTCTCCCTCAAGGCTATTCCCTCATCCTCTCTTCAACACATTGCCCTCCAGATTTTTTAACATTCACTTAACCCTCCAGACCTAGCAGCCACGGCTTGTGGGAGTTGTAGTCACCCACCAGCGCCTAAAATCTGCCCTCTGAGATGCTGCTCGGGGTTTAGTTCAGCTAGGCTTCTCTGTGGAACCTCAGAAGCGTAAGCGAAGCTCCAAGCAGGGGGACGAAATGAGAAACGGAGGGCCAAGCAATAAGCAAGCTTATTTTGCATGCCTCATCAGGAAATGGCAAATGAACTCTAGAAGGAAGAGAGAAAAATGAGCTGCTACCTTCCATGGCTGCGCCTTCACAAGTGATCCCTTCAGGCCTGCACAATAAATTTGCAAGTTAATGCACATTATTAATGTGTGTCAATGTCTCACAGATGTTTTCTTGCTCTGTTAATTTTGTCCTCTTTAAATAATGCTGTTTCACACTGAAGCTCCAGCCCCCCCCCCCCGGTTAAAATGCCAGGCACCATCATCCAGATAAAAATTATTTCAATTTTCTGTCTTCAGACTTCCCACCTTTTCAAGTAGCTCCTTAAACAAATGTGAATCGAACACCGGGATAGACTCCAGCTGTTAATTTAATGGGCTCCTACCAAAAAAATAAATAAAAAATAAAGGATGCCTATTGAGTTTATTATACTAGGAATGACTCAGGGTGGACCCTGATAAAGATTTTTATTTTGTAAAAGGAGTGATAGACTTGTGAGAAACGTTTCTGCCTCCCACACACAACCCTTCTTCCTATTCTAAAAATACCTCCATTCCCTGATTGTTTGGCAGACTTGTTTGTCAGTGAATCACCATCGGATCAAAACCAGGTAACCACGTTCGCTTGGTGAGAACAAGAAGAAGTAGAAGATGGTTGGGTGAATCCTTACTTTCCCACAAGTCCTGGTGTGCAAAGATACCAATGACAACTTCATGAACAGTAAAGAGCGTTCAAGGTTGGTTGCAGCATCCACATGTCTTAAAAGCTCTCCAGCATGCTGGCTGGGGAATTCTGGGAACTGAAGTCCACAAGTCTTCAAGTGGGGCTAAAGACAGATAACGGGTTCTAATGTGGGGCCTGGCAGCATGGAAGCTTGGGGCTCAGTGCTAGAAAGGAGTGGGGTTTGCAGAGTAGAGGAGAAAGAGGAGGATTGTAGGCTCCCTGGAGCTCTCTGAGCTTGATGGTTTTTCTGGCAGGCATTTCATGACCCATGTAAGAGACATCATCAGTGCCAGATGATGGAATGGAGTTTGCAGGAGGAGGAGGAGAAGAGGAAGGAGGAGGAGGAGGAGGAGGAGGAGGAGGAGGAGAAGAAGGAGGAGGAGAAAGAGGAGGAGGAGGAAAAGGAGAATAAGGAGGAGAAGGAGAAGGAGAAGGAGAAGAAGAAGAAGAAGAAGAAAGAGGAAAAGGAGAATAAGGAGGAGAAGGAGAAGGAGAAGGAGAAGGAGAAGGAGAAGGAGAAGGAGAAGGAGAAGGAGAAGGAGAAGAAGAAGAAGAAGAAGAGGAGGAGGAGAAGAAAAGAAGAAGAAGAAGAGAAGAGGAAGAGGAAGAAGGAGAAGGAGAAGGAGAAGGAGAAGAAGAAGAAGAAGAAGAAGAAGAAGAAGAAGAAGAAGAAGAAGAAGAAGAAGAAGAAGAAAAGAAGAAGAAGAAAGAAGAAGAAGAAGAAGAAGAAGAAGAAGAAGAAGAAGAAGAATTATGGGGTCTTTGGAGCTTGGTGGTTTTCTTGCAGATGTTTCATGACCCAACTAGGTAACATCCTCAGTGGCAGAAGTTTGACAGTGCTCCCTTTTAGCTCTGATGATGTTACCTAGCTTGGATCATGAAATGCCTGCAAGGAAACACCCCACCAAAGACCCTTCATTTCAACCCTGAGCTGCAAATATTCGCTTTTATAGCCTCTAAAATGGGTTATTGGTAAAAGCATCCCGCTCAGCCTCATTTACATTCCAAAACAGGCTTATTTGGAGTTTTGACAGGACGCAAACATGCTGCCAAGCCCTGCAGCTGAATGTCGTATTTTCCTTCAATGGCGGTATTTAGAAGACTGAAGTTATCCAACTCGGCTTACCGGGGGTGGGGTGGGGAAATGAAATTCTTCAAATCTAAGCTAATAAGCAGAGCCACCGTATTGATCAATGAGCTGCTTCCATGTTACAGTCACTTACATAAATAAGAGAAATATCTATAACCAACTAAGGCCTTTAATGAACCAGCGACCGTAATAGACTATATCTGCCAAAACCAAGGATAATTCTAATATATTACTTTGTACAAAATTGTCTGCCTCTCAGACCCTGTTGAGACGTATTACGAGAGCACTTTTAAGGGGTTTTTCTTTAAAAAAAAAGAAAGAAAGAAACAAGAGGCAGGGAGCCATACCAAAGACGTAGATTCACACCGCCGGCGCGCCAGAAGCAGCTCAAAATAGCCCCTGCAAATCTTTCAACATGGATAACACATGACATCCATCTACAACAGGGCTGTCAAACTCAATTTCATCGAGGGCCATATCAGAGTTGTGTTTGACTTCGGGGTGGGGTTGGGGTGGGGGTATCCAGCTCAACGTCACTGGTGTCGGGGGCACCCGTGGTGGCCAGGGAAAACGGACTCCCGAGCTCTGTTTTTGGCTGCGACGGCCTCCTGCAACCCTCTGCCAGCAAAAACGGGGAGGGTCGCATGCTGGCAGAGGCACCGTGGGCCGAGACAGCCTCGCGGGCTAGATCTAAGCACCCCGTGGGGCGGATCTGCCCCCACCCCCGTGTTTTGAGTTTGACACTCCTAATCTACAAGAACCCTTGTAGATTTTTCCTCTGGGGTTCTCCAAGGTTGAATTAAGCGAGATCCCATATCCTGGTTCAAAAGATGAATTACCCTTCCTTGTGTTTCAAGATCATTGCCGGATTCCAGCACTAAAAACTGCAGATGTGTCATCCGTCTATATTCTGTGTCCCCTCTAACAGTTGTTGGATGCAGCAGTTGTGACTTCCTTGTGACAACATGTGTAAGGCTCTGAAAATCTGGCCGTTTCCCCGGCTGTTCGGACCAGATTAACCGTGGTGTTGGATGCGGTATTTACAATTACGATGAATTGTTTAACTTGAATGCTATGGGTTGTTATTTGTTGCTTAAATAAGTAGGGAAAAAAAATAATAACTTGCCTTGAAGATCAAGCAGTCTTCTCTGTGCTCGGCGTAGATGGACGTCAGGCGGTATTGATTCTCGATTGTAATATCGATATGGTAACCGGTCAGTTTATAACACACTTTGCGAAATTCTTGAATCTTGGTTCCAAAGATCTCCCTTAAGCGCTGGTTTTTCAACTCCGCACTTTCCAGTTGTTTCTTTAATTCTGAAATGAAGCAGAAAAGAGATTACATTTTTTTTTTTTTTTTAAATAGAGCGGTCAGGAATCGTTCCCACAGGATCTGTACGTAGATGAGAAAAATCAGCAGAGGTAGTAGAAAGCAAGATTGGAGAAGCGAATTAATGCTGTTCCAAAGAGTTTCTGTTAAGGCACCGGAAAAACTGAACCAAGGACTAAGGCTGCCCAGGTTGGGTGAGACTGAAGGGCCGTGTGAGACCAGGACGAAGCTGCCTTGTCTAAAGATGAAGTAGACTCATAAGTAGGGTGGACAAAATCCAGAAATCTTGCCTGAAAGGTCCCTTTGGCAGGTAGGTGAGAAGGAACCAAGTCCTTAAGGAAACAAAGGGGAAAATGTTACTTGAACAAGACAGAAGAAGTTAGGCCTGAGCACATGGGAAATCCTCCCCAAATCCTACCAACTGCCACCAGACTTGTAAATTAACGGTAGATCTCATACTTGGCCAAATAAAGTATTCTGTTCTGTTTTCTGTTTTCTGTTTTCTGTTTTCTGTTTTCTGTTCTATTCTATTCTATTCTATTCTATTCTATTCTATTCTATTCTATTCTATTCTATTCTATTCTATTCCTCTATTCTATTCTATTCTATTCTATTCTATTCTATTTTCTCTTCTCTTCTCTTCTCTCTATTCTATGCCTCTCCTTCCCTTTCCTCTCCATTCTATTCTATTCCTCTCCTCTATTCAATTCTGTTTTCTATTCTATTCTATTCTATTCTATTCTATTCTATTCTATTCTATTTCTATTCTATTCTATTCTATTCTATTCTCTCTTCTCTTTTCTCTATTCTATTCCTCCTCTGCTCTCCTCTGCTCTCCTCTCCTCTCCTCTCCATTCCATTCTATTCTATTCCTCTCCTCTCCTCTATTCTATTCTATTCTATTCTATTCTATTCTATTCTATTCTATTCTATTCTATTCTATTCTATTCTTCTATTCTATTCTATTCTATTCTATTCTATTCTATTCTATTCTATTATCTTCTCTTCTCTTCTCTTCTCTTCTCTCTATTCTATTCCTCCTCTCCTCTCCTCTCCTCTCCTCTCCTCTCCTCTCCTCTCCCCTCCCCTCCCCTCCATTCCATTCCATTCCATTCTTCTGCCAAACTTAGGAACTCGATTAACAGCAGAACAAATTCAAGCTGTATGGAAAAAGCAGGAAAGGGGGGAAAAAATCTCTCCAAACTACAGAAAACAACAAACTGTGTAGCTGAATGCCATCCCTCTCTTTCTCTGGCAGATTTTTGGCCAAGAGAAGGCAGCTGAGTTGGCTGCCACTCAGCCAGTATTTTATCGTTAGGAAAGTTTGCTGCCAGTGGAGTGAATCCTTCAGGGGGATACACAACAATTACCATGAATCCTTCACCCAAGGTGCTTTCTGAGTAATTAAGCCACAATTTATCCCCCCATTAATTACCGAGAAGAGCTTTAGTTAAACACAAGTCGGAGATGCCACCTAAGTCAGCTTGTTTTATCAACACACCAGCTCAGAAGGCTTTGATTCCCATAATAAACAGAGACACTTGCTCTCCGGAGGCTGTGACGTCTTTTCTCCCGTCACCTCCGTGGCCACATGACCGTACGGGCCATACGGGCTGCAGGAGAGGAGGACACAGGTGGCTCCAGCTGAACATCGGCAGTCATTCAAGGAATGTTCTGCACTTTCTAATTTAGTTTTTATACGGCCTGCTTATTAAAGGTGACGCTGCCGGTTACGGCAACGACGACGCTTCCCTTCGTGTGACATGGCACTCGGCAATTTCAAGAGACCGGGTCTCTCAGCCCGGACCTAACATTTGAATTCAGAGGGCGCCACAGTTAAAGGGGAGGGAAAACACGCTGGAGTATCAGTGATGCACGAGCCACCTGCACCCCAAAAGGTTAGGTCTTCGCTCTCGCGGAGAAGCCTTGTTCTCTTCGGGTTCCCAGGGGTGCTGTTTTCCCATCAGTGCTCCCCCAGCCCCAAACTTTGCTCTTGACGATGATCTGACCGCGTTGTACAAAACTCTGGTTGTAGAGTGAGCTGGAGAACAGCACCCAGATCCTAGCAGTCAAAGGGCATCTAGGGAAGATGTCCGTATTGTTCACCTGGATAGAACTCACGTTCCTAGTGTCTGTTGTTGCAGTGGCTTGTTAGTGTGGTGGAAGGAAGCATGTTTTATGTAAGGTGCAAGAGAGGGAGGGAGGAGGAAGGAAGGAAGGAAAATAGAGGGAGGGAGAAGTAAGTAGATGAAATGAGAGGAAGGAAGGGAGAGAGGGACGGAGGGGAAAGGAGGAGGAACAAAGGAAGAAGAAAGGAAAGAAGGGGGAGGGAGGAGAGGAAATGAAATGAGAGGAAGGAAGGAAGGAAGGAAGGGAGAGAGGAGGGAGGGAAAGGAAAGAAGGAAAAGAGGGAAGAAGGGAGGAAGGAAAGAAATGAAGGAAGAAGGAGGGAGAGAGGGAGGAAAAGGAAGGAAGGAAAAGAGGGAAGAAGGGAGGAAGGAAATGAAATGAGAGGAAGAAGGAAGGAAGGGAGAGAGGGAGGGAAAAGAAGAAGGAAAAAGGAAGAAGGGAGAAGGAAATGAAATGAAGAAGGAAGGAAGGAAGGAAGGGAGGGAAAAGGAAGGAAGAAAAGAGGGAAGAAGGAGATGAATGAAGGAAGAGAAGGAAGGAAGGAATCCAGTTGTATGTATTCAAAGATTTAGAGATCGGGAAAGGAGCACAATGCATTCCACCTGGGGAAAAGGGGGGGGGGGGTACAGAAAACTGGGGAAATAAAATCTCACAATATGAAATTAAAGTTTGCCCACCCCTGCATACAAGCCGCCATAAGCCCTGGGAGACGTTCTCACTGCTGTTGGTAAGACAGCTTGAAAAAACTGAAGGAACATTGGCTTAGGCACTCTTAATCAACCCGTTCCATTGGCTCTGTGCTGATGAAGAAACTTCCATGGATGACTTCACCTGGAACGTCCCAGCTCCTCTTTTGATACAAGATGTACTTTTTGGCTATTCCCAGAGCTGTTCTGCTGCTGGATGCAGTTCTCCCGAGTAAAGACAGGTATCAAGGCACAGGTTGCTCTGCCAGAAGCATCATGGCTTAAGATGGGCCTTCCACTGTCTCCTTCCAGCCACTTCCTGGCATTCTCCACCCCTCGATAAAAACCTGCCCTGACCCTAATCAGCTATGGAAACCAGAAGGCTAATGAACCCCTTTGCTCAATATCCTCCCCATGTTGCATTCACCTAGCACGGTGATGGCGAACCTATGGCACGCGTGCCGGAAGTGACACGCAGAGCCATCTCTCCGGGCACGCCAGCCGTCACCTGTAGCTCTTCTGGGTTCCAGTACACACATGTGCACCGGCCAGCTGGTCTTCACACATGCGGGAGCCCCGGAAACTGGAAGAGCAGCTCCCTGGTGTGCATGCACGCACTGGGAAGCTGAGCTTCCGGTTTTTGGAGCGCACATGCGTGCCGGGCAACTGGTCTTCATATACATGCATGCCAGAAACCGGAAGACCAGGAGACTGGCACGCATGCATGTGCATGCTGGAAACCGGAAGCTCAGATTCCCGGTGCGTACATGTGCACCGGGGATCTGCTCTTCCGGTTTCCGGTGCTCCCCCGCGTGCGTGCTTGCGCTCCCGTTTCGACACCTGGTGCCTAAAAGGTTCATCAACACTGACCTAGCCCCTCTTGAGCTAACACGAAGACCCCGTAGATGGAAAAACAGAAGCTTCTCCTACCAGAGAAAAGAACTGCAATCCATTTTGGTGCCCAGCGGGTTTAATCGTTGACAAAAGCTGCCAGGGGTATTAGCGCATTCCAGGCACCCAACTGTGCATTTGTTTTCGGAATACAATGCAAGTTCTCCGGTCCAAATTCTCAACGCCAAAGTATCAGGCGTTGGCTTGGCTCAGCTGGTGGGAATAGCTGGGAGAAGAATGGGAGGAGGGATTCAGTAGCACGTCCTTCAGAATTAAGCTGCCCTCCCATTTTTTCGCCTCCCCCCCCCCCGCATTGTTTAGACGGACTTTTAATCACCAGCTTCTTCCTAGCCTTGGAGATAAATCAGCATGAGCGTGAAAGAGATTGAGTGATTCAGCCATCAATGACATCTGTTTCCCATCACCCTCCGTTTCGATTCTCCTCCTTCTTTCCCTGGCATTGAAAAACAGGCTGAACAGGGGGTACGGGTTGGAGGGGACCAGCCCCCAATCACAGAACCCTATTCCCACTGTCTGACGATCAATGCAAATTCTGCTAGCATTTTGGAAGTCCTTGCAGACTTGATGTTCCTCAAGTCAAAGTCAAGCTGACACATGGAATCTGAGGTTTAGGTGAGCTTCTCTCTGCAAGGTTGTCCTTCTTATGATTGAAGGTGGGTTTATTTGTTTTTTTTAATTGTAATCATTGCATTACATGGGGTTTGGCCCATAGTTGCAACTGATGTAACAACAACAGCAACACTAATGAGAGAGATCTTGCTTAGAGACCTGATAGTTGAGAATGCAGATCCCCAAGTATTGAGATCCTTCTCCACTGTTTCTTGCTACAAATTTTGTTCAAAGACAGGGAAACTAAACACCGTTGGTCTCTTTTCAGAGAAATATAAAACATTCTAAACTGCATCGTTATATTAGACACCTATAACAAATGTTGGCCAGTTTGAAGAAATATTAAGAAAGTTTTACTTGGAAAAGAGAGTTGTTATAACCACTATTTGGCATTTTGTGGAATGACTGATATGGAGTATAGAATAATAGGCTTGGAAGGGACCTTAGAGGTCTTCTAGTCCAACTCCTCAAGCAGGAGACCCTACACCCTTCAGGACAAATGGTTGTCCAGTCTTTTCTTGAAAACCTCCAGTGATGGAACATCCATAACTTCTGGAGGCAAGTTGTTCTACTGGTTAATTGTCCTCACTGTAGGAAGTTTCTCCTTAGTTCTAGGTTGATAAGTTTCCACTTGTTACTTCTTGTCCTGC